GAGCAGTTTAAGGTTGTCTTTGATCTGATGTTGTCAGTTTGGTCTAGTTATACGTAATTGTGAAAATCGTTTACCGAAATACGTTTATGTCATTATGATTGTGATGTAATTGTTGCGCAATCATTAACTTAAAACGAAAATCGAATGAGTGACATACTAAAAATCTCTTGCTGGTGACCTTGGAATTTTATTATATTTTGTTTTAAAACTCTAATATTATATTAGGTTATTCTGTTAACAGACGTTGACCAATAACAATAATATTCAGTTCGATTACTACTATATTTCGAACGATTTTATATTTCTTGTTTTTTACATCAGTACCTACTAGAGCATGTTGGGTACATTTATTTTCCTTAACACAGTATAGTTTATTTATTGTAAGTAATTAAAATAAGGAAAATTCTGAACAACGACCGGCGAACCGAGAGTGCTCCTAAAAAAACGGCTAATAACATTATTAATAATATTGTTGTGGCCAGTAGTTGTTTATGCTACGCTAATGAACCTTCATTTGAAGCAATTGTTTTCTACATTTATAGCGTCATTTTATATTTTTAGTAAAACATTTACGAGTAAATCATGTTTATTCAACTCTTTGCATATTTAGCAGCACATTGATTTTAACCGGTGTCACCAAACAATGGTTTCGAATCTAAGGCTGGATTGCACCATCTTACTTAAACTTTGACAAACGTCAAAAATCTGTCGAACTCCATACAAAAAGCACCGGTTATCGTCATAGTTACCGTTAAAGTTAGGTGGTGGTTAAACTCAGCCTTAATATTTTTTATCTAAAGTTTAGACATTTGTCCCGCTTGTTTTCAATTGTCACATCCGATATCGGCATCGGCATCATAAAACTATATCATAATGATAAAGGCATCCCGATGTAGCTCGCGGGCCGGGCGTCTTCGGCAGTGTCGCGGGAGATAACACGGCGCTCCGTGTAACGCACACATCCCTATACAGCGTGTTTCTTAGAATTACACAATTTAGAAAAATGATCAGTCCCATGATGAATAAATTGCTTGTTTACACTGTTCGCGAATAGGTTTCGTACATACACATATACCTAATTCCCAACAAATTTACAAGTTCATTTTTTTTAAAGTTCCCAGGCATTACAAGAAACTTTTCTGTTGTTATTTCCATACAATGATTTTTTAATCTAAATATATATAACTCAAAGGTGACTGACTGACTGACTGGCATAGTGATCTATCAACCAACGCACAACCTAAACCACTCTGTCTGGACGGATCGGGCTGAAATTTGGCAGGCATGTTATGACGTAGGCATCCGCTAAGAAAAGATTTTACATTGTGCATTTATTTAAGATATATCTGTAAGACTTTTTGTAAAACCGTCTGTTCAATTGTTTGTTATCCTTAATAAAATAAAATAAAATAAGGGGGTAAAACGGGATCCACGCGTACGAATTCGCGGGCGGCCGCTAGTATTATTTATTTTTATAGGCGCCAATAAAAAATGAGACTGTAAAGTTTCATCAAAGTTGAATGTAGCTTGTTACCGTGCACGATGTAAAAGTGTACGGAGAGGATTACATTTGTTGTATGTCGTATCGTAATTCGTATCGTATCAGTATCACTGAGGTGTGGGAGCAGACTGTAGCGCGGCGCGCCGGCGCTGGGCTGGTGTTGCCGGCGTGTTTGCGCAGGCTCGGCTCTAACGCGCCATTTTACACGTTTTAAGAGCCCTCGGATCGTTTCCAAATTTGTCCTCTTTATTTTTTGTCGTGTTGAGTGACGGCTTAAGTGTCTCGAGTGAGTTATTTGTATAGGCTCTGCGTTCCGGTGTGGGTCGATGATGCGCAAATAACCGCCGTCTATTAGCTTTATATATTATACCGGGTAATTTTTGTTTAAAACCTTTTATTATTCGAAATCTTTCTTTTGTTTTTATTTTGAAGTTGCAGTAAGCCCACGAATTATGTGTACATAGATTTTAATATGGCTTTATCTTGAATATTTTCACATTAGTGAAATACATAAGTACCTACTGTCCTATTGTGGTAGGTAGACAGAAAGATAAACTGCTGCAAATTATAATTCTAAACTTATTTTTATGTCCCTAACTCCCTAGTGGCGCGTGGCGTCTGCCGAGTGCCGGTCACCCGTCGGACAGGGTGTCGGACAACTGTCCGCAACACGTGCGGTGCGCGCTGTAAGACATAGTAATAAAAAATAACTAATCCTTCAATCTTTACCATCTGGGATATTTTAAGTATGTTGTCTGTGCCTTCACTTTGAGTAAGTTTTTATTCTGTCCACGTTAATTTGTGACAGAAACACTGAAAGTGCTGAACATCGGCTTATTCTTCAAATGATATCAACATTTCAATCCCATGGCATTGATACACAATTTTCTTTCGCAATCACAATAATCGCCAATCTTTGTCTTTATTCTGGTTGACAAGGTTCAGTGTATCCAAAATTCTTGAGAATCGTTAAATGTCCGGGTTTCTGGTCGAGTGAAATTGACATTTGTAAATTCCCGGCGTGATGTTGCAACGCGCGGGCCGTGTCGGCGGCGCACGTGCGGCGGCCCGCGCCTGTAAGTCACGCGCACGAACCGTAACTTGGTTTCCGTGTACTGCCGATGCGGGCTGTTCGCCTGCTCTTATTGATTGTTGTTCTAACGGGACATGGATTGTAAGTGTAGGTTGTTTTCTAACTTTAGCAATCCATTTCAGTTGTATTGGCCAGTTAACTAGTTTTCAATTGAAATACCTTTGCACAAACATATTTAAATGGTGTGGTCGAAAGCTTGAATTCATTGACTTTGTTTGGGATAAGTAAAGATGCTTTTATTAGCATCTAATCATTTAATAGAATAATACCTAAAAGGACACTAGGTGACTTTGGACAGTGTTATTGTAAGCACCACGATTTGCATTTTCTTTGGGGCTTATCGTCGCATTATCCCGATACATTTGCACAGCGCTCCACGAGTGAGAGCTCCATAATGGGGTCTAATGCGTTCGTAACAGTCGTTATCTCTTCCGGACGAGTTTTCCAAATTCGTCGTGCCATCAGCACAACGCGCAACGGTAGCGGAGTAGTGTCGCCGTAATGAATGTAAGCGGGTCGAGGGCGCCGGCGGGGCGCGGGGCGGGGCGGGAGGGGTGCGCCCGCGCCGATAACGCACCTACTTCCGAGACGTTCCGAGCCATTAGCCTCAACTCGCACTCCACTTAACAACACGCAGCGCTCCAAATAATGTAATGCCTAGGCGCTGTCGATGAACCCTGAGCAAACACACGTCATCCATGTCACCGTATTTAGGGTTCAAACTTCCTTTCGCTACAATGCTTTTACGTACTTTCGCGGAGAAAACCTATTTAATTTCAACAAAGTCGTCCGCGAGAAATGACCTTTGTTCTGCGATATTCACCATGCCCAAGGCCCAGTTTCCACCAAAGCGGAGAGGAGAGGGGATGTGTTTGATAGGTCGATCAGATCACATCATCTCGCCGCTTAACTTCAGTTCGGAATTCTGATTAGTTTTTCAACCGACTTCAAAAAAGGAGGAGGTTCTCAATTCGACCCGTATGTTTTTTTTTCTATGTTTGTTACGCGATAACTCCGCCAATTATGAACCGATTTGAACAAATCTTTTTTCGGCGTATAGGTAATACCTCAAGGGTGGTCCCATTTAAATTTAATAATAGAAAAAACAACCCCCAAGGGTGGAAAATTGGGGATGAACTTTTTTATACGCAATATCTCCGCCGATTATAAATCAATTTGAACGATTATTTTTTTGTTGAATAGGTATTATCAAAAGGGTGGTTTCATGCGAATTTGAAGAAAATATTTCACCCCCAAGGGTGGAAAATTGGGGATGAACTTTTTTATACGCAATATTTTTAATTTTTAGTTTTTTTTTGTGTTCACGCATTTGAAGTCGGTTTTATTTTTTTTAAAAGTTAATTATTTAAAAACACATCTCTTCCCCGCTTTGGTGAAACCGGGCCCAATCCATTTTAGTATGGTGTATTATTATGTATCATTTTATTTAATAGTATACATACTAAACTGGCGGAATTCAAAGCTGTAATTGACCTCCTGAAAAGTTTTGAGGGAGACGTTTAGCTAGATGGCGTTCTATGTATAATCTTGGCCACCAGTTACAACAGACGACTAATCAAATTACCCCAGTGGATGCAGGATGGATCACAATTCACTAACGCACGACTATCTGTAGTACTTTAGGACTACCTTGGGTTGTATCATGGTTAGGTCCTGGTTAATAACTTATGAGGGCAGTCCGGAGTGCCACGACATGTTCATTCGCAAGGCGGCTAAACTTGCCCAATGAGTTCCGATAAGTCTCGTAACTGTTCGCCGCGCAAATGTCACGTAAATGAAGAATTCTCATTACTCAATGGATGTCGTAAGCGAGATAAGCGCTGCTGCGCGTGAGCTCGGCACGTATCGGTCGCAGCTGTTACAACTCGCGTATTGCCGTTATGAAATTATTTTCAGTATTTAATTTCCAAATCAAAAATAAAAAATAAATCTAAACAAAAATTAAAGTACATACTTAGGTTCTATCGGACCAGACTCCATTAACTGACCAATATATTCCTCAATTCCTGATTCCTTTCAAGATCAGTTATCAAGTCATCTTAAAATTATTTCATAATAAAAGTATGACTAAGGGCTGTTTTTTCAATCGTCGGATAACTTTTAACTGAAGAATAAGTTTGGCACATTGACTTATGGCAGTTCAGTATGGAAGATATGTCACAATGACAAGTTTATTCTTCAGATAAAAGATATCTGACGATTGAAAAATCAGCCCTAATTCAAATTCAAATTATTTTATTGCATGTCACATGGGCATGGGTAAAGGTTGACAGAACATTGTATTTCGCTTTGAAATGGAGAAAGGAAAAGTATTGTCATGGTCATATCTGTCAAACTGGGTGTTTCTGAATATCACGCGGTTCTAATCGGTCCTTCCTGGCGCAGAGGCGGCGGCGGCGGCGGCGGCGCGGTGTACTCGCGCTGCGCGTACCCCAGCCCCGCGCCCTACTTCGGCGCGCCCGCCGAGCTCGCCGTGCAGCAGCAGATCTGGAGCCCCAGCACAGGTACCGCACCCGTTCCACTGCCATAAATAAACTCAACCACTGGATCCAGCCACGGATATCATTCAAAATAATACAAATGATTTGCCACGATACTAGTGTCGTAAGGTACATCGTGCCACAGGTTATCTTGTATCATCAACAGGCTGCATTCATTATCGTTCAACAGACTATCTACGTCGATATTCAATTCCCAATTCGTCAAAAACGTCTTAAATTTTCTTTATTCTTGAACAATTACAAATGGTATACAGCACAGCTAAACCCAAAGTGTTTCCAGCCGGCGGTTCTCCCACGTACGGCGGGTCGAGCGGCGGCGGCGGCGGCGGCGGCGGCGGCGGCGGCGGCGTGGTGCTGGGCGAGGAGTACGCGGGCGAGGCGGGCGGCGGCGAGGCGGCGGGCGGCGCGCTGCCGGCCTTCAGCGCGCGCTTCGGCGGCGCCTTCGCCTGCGCCACCTCGCGCGCCTCCACCGTGTACGGCAACCCCGGCCTCACCGCCAATGCTTACACGCACCAGGTCGGTAACTCACATGGGTTGTTCTTTTTGTCGTGATCCGGGAATTGATATTCTATTAGGTGTTGTTTCTGGCTGCGTTATTATAGCGTTTTGATCTGATGACTCATGACTTCATGAGTGTACATTATAGTATCTTCATAATTATGTTCATATTAAAGAATATTTTTTTCTTTTTAATATTGGGTAGAGCCAGATATTGAAGTGAATAAAAACAAACTTAGTCTTGATCTCTTCTTGCGTCTTAGTTTTGAAGTAGGTTAAATAGTTTGAAGTGTGTGCGCTTTGCTGACAAAGGCTCGTGCCGCTGTTTCCAGGACGTGTGGGGCCTGGACGGCAGCCGCCGGCCGCAGCTCTCGGCCGCCGCCAGTCTATCAGCCAGTAAGTACCTCTACATCATGACAAATACTCGTATGATAGCACCATTGACTTGTTTTAAATACACTCGCGAGCAAAACTATGGAATCACTTACATGAAGTTGTTTCCACGCGAACTTGTGTACTAACGAATTTGTTAGGAACAAAAAAAGTGGCACCATTTTGAAGATTAAACTTTTATCTTTGAACTGATACCAAATTCATTTAAATAACACCAGTATTTAAAAAGATATCCCGGCTGATGTGAAGAAGTAACGAAAAAGACATGTATGAACTGTTTGATACGTCGCGAGTTGCGGCCTATTTACCCCCTATAAAAGCACGCGTTTTTAGATTTTTGCTTTCACACGTTGATTCATACACATCTCCGCTTCTTTTGACACTTTACCTGGGATTCTACACCTTCAGAAGCAGCACAAATCGTTGCACTATTGCAAGAAGGGCTCAGCCAGCGGGCTGTCGCACGTCAGCGCCACATAAGCCAGTCCTGGGTTTCGAAAGTTTTAAGACGCTTTCGGGAGACTGGTGGCTTTATCCCGAGACTAAGTTCTAAACAGCGCCGGCGCACATCGCAGAGGGAAGACCGTTTTTTCATGTCAACCTCTCTATGAAATCGTCATTTGACTGGAATCGATGTCCATCAAGAGCTCAGAAATGTTCGTAAGATAGCTGTTAGCGAGTGGACAGTTCGTCTAAGATATAAGCAATAGAATTTGACTCCAAAAAGGCCTGCCACAGGCTCGAAACTGACGGCAGGTCACCGATAAGCACCCTTTCAATTTGCTCGTACACATCTCGATGGGAAGGCGAGTAATGGAGGCGAGTTCTGTTCTCCGATGAATGCAAACTGTGTTTGCAGGGCAGCAGTCGAAGAGGTCGGGTTTATAGGCGGCCTGAGGAGCGATTTGTGCAGTGCTGGTTCGCTGAAACAGTGGCTTATGGGGGTGGCTTGCTCGACTTAACATCGAGATGTGTACGAGCAAATTGAAAGCGTGCTTATCGGTGACCTGCCGTCAGTTTCGAGCCTGTGGCAGGCCTTTTTGGAGTTAAATTCTATTGCTTATGTCTTAGACAAACTGTCTACTCGCTAACAGCTATCCTACGAACATTTCTGAGCTCTTACTGGACGTCGATTCCAGTCAAATGACGATTTCATAGAGAGGTTGACATGAAAAAACGGTCTTCCCTCTGCGATGTGCGCCGGCGCTGTTCAGAACTTGGTCTCGGGATAAAGCCACCAGTCTCCCGAAAGCGTCTTAAAACTTTCGAAACCCAGGACTGGCTTATGTGGCGCTGACGTGCGACAGCCCGCTGGCTGAGCCCTTCTTGCAATAGTGCAACGATTTGTGCTGCTTCTGAAGGTGTAGAATTCCAGGTAAAGTGTCAAAAGAAGCGGAGATGTGTATGAATCAACGTGTGAAAGAAAAAATCCGAAAACGCGTGCTTTTATAGGGGGTAAATAGGCCGCAAATCGCGACGTATCAAACAGTTCATACATATCTTTTTCGTTACTTCTCCACATCAGCCGGGATATCTTTTTAAATACTGGTGTGATTTGAATGAATTTGGTATCAATTTAAAGATAAAAGTTTAATCTTTAAAATGGTGCCACTTTTTTTGTTCCTAACAAATTCGTTAGTACACAAGATCGCGTGGAAACAACTTCATGTAAGTGATTCCATACTTTTGCTCGCGAGTGTATTATAGATTGATACTTTAAAGTGTTTAAAGTATAGGAGTTTAGGTGTAGGAGTAGTATACAAATACGTAACTGTGTGTCTCTATTTAGTCCAGTCAATAAAGCATTATAGATGGAAAACTGTAGAACACAATTTCTGACTTCAGGACTTTATTTAGACTAGTTAGGAGGTGAACATAGCAAAAGTCCCCGCCCTTAGCCCTTGAGCCGACGGGGAGAGGGGGGTTTAAAGGTGCCACTTTTCGGTTTTTCGCTTAATCCTCGGAAACTATGCGTCCTAGTGACATGACTACTTTGAACTAAAAAAAGCATATTCAATTTGCTACAGATGAGATGGACAAGTTTTTCTATAAATTGTATAGTTTTCGCGGCATCTGCTCTAGAAGGTCTGTAATATTGGAAATTTTATTTTTGTCTTACATGTTCCCATCAGGAGAAAATCGACTAAATCAACATTGAGCAATCATTCTAGACATGCGGGAGCATGTTAAGCCTAGTTCCAGCGAGGGGACTACACCGTGCGTATATTTAGACGAATCACTTTGAGCCACTTTTGACTCCTCATCACTCAAAAACTACTGTGCATTAACACTTCAAATTTGGCTCATGTGTTGAGACTTGCAAGATATACATCAGTTTCAAATTTCATAAATATGCCTCAAACGGTTCTTTAGATATTGACGTCCAAAAATCTACATGTCTGACCTATAGACCAAATTCTAACCACTTCCAGATGACCTCGAAGGTTCAAATTTGGCATCCAGAAAGGTAGTTATGTAAATACAAAGGAACAAATAAAAAACCAGTAAATTTTAACATTTCACATGTGATAGATAGATAGTAGTGCTCTAAATATCGATTTTTGAACGTCAATACCTAAATAACCGTTTGAGGTATATTTATGAAATTTGAAGCTGATGTACATCTTGCAAGTCTCAATAGATGAGCCAAATTTGAAGTGTTAATGCACAGTAGTTTTTGAATGATGAGCAGTCAAAAGTGGCTCTAATTGGTTCGTCTAAATATACGCACGGTGCAGTCCCCTCCATGGAACTAGGCTTAACATGCTCCCGCATGTCTATAGTGTTTGCTCAATGTTGATTTAGTCGATTTTCTCCTGAAAGGAACATGTAAGACAACAATAAAATTTCCAATTTTACAGACCTTCTAGAGCAGATGCCGCAAAAACTATATAAGATATAGAAAAAATTGACGGTCTCACCTGTAGCAAATTGAATAAGCTTTTTTTGGTTCATAGTAGTTATGTCACTAGGACGCATAGTTTCCGAGGATTAAGCGAAAAACCGAAAAGTGGTACCTTTAAACCCCCCTCTTCCCGCCGGCTCAAGGGCTAAGGGCGGGGACTTTTGCTATGATCACCTCCTAACTAGGCTAAATAAAGTCCCGAGGTCAGAAATTGTGTTCCACGGATTTCTCTCTACACCGTCGTTAAGGCATTCATTGACTGGACTAATTCACATTCAGAAAAAGGTAGGAATGTGGATACCATTCACTTAGATAATACTTTAATTAAAAATATTATGACTCACATGTTTGTAACATTTTTGCACAGTTATTTTGAAATAAACAGTTATTAGAATCTACGCCAATACAATATGATCAAACATTGAATTCGCTATCACTTAAATATTGAATGACTGGTTTTCACATTCCTATTAAAGAATTTAAATGCCCGATAATACAGAAAGAAACCTTTCAAAATTTTCCGTTGGTCATTTTGTACGCGCATTCCGTCCCTGCGTTCACGCGCATTAGGGCCGCTCTTTGTTCGCCGACGAGTGATTCGCCAGACCAAGTCCACTTTCCAAGTGAATCATCGACTCACGTTACCATTTCGGTGGTAAATTATAGTGAATAATATTTAAACAACACTCTAATGGACAGTAAATAAATCATTACTAATTTATTGTTTTTGTTAATGTAAACTTGACATTTACAATAGATAAATACATACATGCATAGTACATACGAAAACTAAATGTATCATTACTTCATTATGAAATATTCAATGACTCCTTGGTAACACGCTGCTTAACATGACCTAACAAGAGTAAATATTAATCCAGAATAAATCGTCAGTTATTCAACATTTTGACATATGTATTTCCCATACTGAAACTGTCAATGTGCCAGTTATACCAGAAGTTATACTCAGATAAAAGTTTGGTCGAATCGGTCCTTAAGAACGAAACATAGATCTACTTTTCGGCCTTACTAAATAAGTAAATATAACCTCATAAAATGTTCTTGTAAGAGTTATTGAAATTACAAGAGGCGAGCAGCAGCCCGCAAGCTCGCCGTCATAATTAGTCGTTCGTACAACAATAGCGTCCGGACGGTAAACACGACCGATAGCAACAGCTAAGTTTTTGTCAATACGAGATTTTTTACGGACAGGGGCGGCGTGGCGCGGGTCACGCCGATAGCCTCGCGCTGTCAAAACTAATAACCATCTCTAAATAACTTCACAGATATATTTTTATAGCGATAAGCTATTTTTGAAAAACATCGATAATGGAGTCCGGGTAACATTCACGGTTCCCTCTTGGAACAATGAAAACGTTTTTGTAACGGTTTTTTTCGGTTTTCACATCCACTTGAACCTTCGTCTATCTTCGAAAGCGGCAATAACTGATTTTATTTCGGCTTTAAAAGCTATTAAATAATTAATTGCCTTTCTTTGAACCACTGTAAATATTGTTCAGATATAATTTTTAAAAGACACTTAAATGTTAGTTTCGGCACTAAACACTTATGTATATTCAAGACTCTCAAGTGTATATTCAAGACTCTCAATATAAGTTTATGATTGACATTTTACCGACAACCGTTTCAAGGATTATTTTAAAGATCTTTATGGATGTTTAAATTTTACACTTGTCTTAAATTACTAGAGCAAGACGCTCTAGATTTCACGAAACATAGTCGCATGAATGTTTTTGTCTACACTAATGTTTGCGGGGCGCACCATAAGGCGTGTTTGCACGGCCACAAAAAGTGTCGGCCGTCGGCGCGCACGTGCCGCTCAAACACGCTGCGCCTGCGCCGGCCGCCTCAGGGCTGGCCAATTAAAACAAGCTGTACTTAAAATTACAGTAAAGATCTGGTACCTAAATAAAGCTTGTAAAAACACAGATCTCATGTCTTCCACAACCTTCGGGTATATTAAAAATGAATCTGCCGATCAATATTTAAAAAGTAATACTGGGAAGGGAACTAACAGATAGCCAAGAGAAAAACTAGCTAGTACACAAAGGGCAATGGAAAGGAGCATGTTGGGATTCAAACCCAGCGAAAAATTAAAAAATTATGAAAAAGAAGAAAAACCTATGTTGTAGAGATTATTACTCGTATAGATTGATGAAGTTAGTATCTATCGACCTGAAGGGTTCTGTTCTTCGAGCCGCGATCAGCCCTGCGCTTGCCTCGCGCCGCATGTTTGCCCGCGCCGCGGCCGCGACACTAATGCGACGTCGTTATCAACACCCTGACGCCATTATCCGTGTTTTCTAAATTACGTCATAGACCATACATGAAAGCTTAAATTATTTAATGGGTTTCTAGTTAAAATTACCGATAAACCGAAATTGAAAACCAAACAAGTGTCTTACTCATATCAAATTTCACTATAAATTCAGTTTATAAAAATGTCGCGAGTCGCGACAGTAACGAAAAATCAGTTTCAAATAGTTAACACATGGCCGCTATTTCAAGCGATAAAGATAAAATTGGCCAAATCGGGATCACGATTCCAGAAAAAAAGATTTTAAATCACAGAGCACTTCGTAATAATGTTATCGGCACAGACGTAGTATAATTGACGAGGCATGTGCCGGCACAGATGGCCTTCTCCATTACGCGCCCACAACCTACGAGCGACAATACCATGAGTGACATGTGACATCCGCGCGACCTGTAACATGACCATGGGCATGGTTGGTTTCAGGAAAATTTTATCACTATACGCCCCAAGGGAGGTATAAATGTTTGCCACCCAAATTGAAATATATTTACATAATTATTAGCACGGAATAATGCTTGTGTCCACTGGACTGTGGGAGTTTTCATTGTGGCGTACAGAAACTGCCAGAGAACTATCTTCATTCTTTAGTAACGATTGCTCAAATGAATATATACCAAACTAAAATTTTACAAGTTTATATCTTACATCACGTATGAAAAGTTTTTGTAATAATTTATTTACAAAAAGGACATCATCCACGTTTCATATATTTTTGGTCCAAAATCAAAAGTGCCGGCCAACAAAAAAAAGTGCTGTATTCTGACAGAATACGTCTGCCTTAGCATTTGTTACTATGGCACCAAAGCCGTAGCTCCACTGTGCGTCGAGTATTTGAGATCTAAAAGTCATCGATTATTCATACATTTTTTGTTCAAAATCAAAAGTGTCGGCCAGTAAAAAAAAAAGTGCTGTGTTCTGACAGAATACGTCCGCCTTAGCATTTGTTACTATGGCACCAAAGCTGTAGCACCACTGTGCGTCGAGTATTTGAGATCTAAAATTCATCGACGATTCATACATTTTTTGTTCAAAATCAAAAATGTCGGCCAATAAAAAAAAAAGTGCTGTATTCCGACAGAATACGTCCGCCTTAGTATTTGTTACTATGACACCAAAGCTGTAGCACCACTGTGCATCGTAATATTTGAGATCAAAGTCAGTCGTTTCATATATTTTTAGAGCTCAAATACTACGATGCACAGTGGTGCTACAGCTTTGGTGCCATAGTAATAAATGCTAAGGCGGACGTATTCTATCAGAATACAGCACTTTTATTTTTTGGCCGGCACTTTTGATTTTGGACCAAAATGGATGATGTCCTTTCAATTATTTGTCCGTCAGACACTTTTGAGTAGATTTTTTACTCAAAAGTGACGTCACGTGAATTTCAACTCAATATAATACTGTAATTATTCTATTATGAAAAAATACGTGTTCAATATTTTTTTATTATCTGTCTGGCGGACGAACTAGAATTTCGATTTCATTACCCAGTCATCATCCCAATTGCAAGAGCAGAATTCATTCTACATAATATTATGTATTATACCGACTAGGATACTGTATGAGCCCGTGACTGGTCCATGGATTAGCAAGCTGAAGTGGCAATGGGCATGGCACATAGTACGCAGAACAGATGGCCGATTGGGCAGAAAGGTTCTGGAATGGAAGCCGCGTACCGGAAAACGCAGCGTGGGACATCCACCCACAAGGTGGACCGAAGACATCATAAAGGTAGCAGAGAAGCGCTGGACGCAGGCCGCTACCAATCGATCAACATGAAAAGCATTGGCGGAAATTATGATGATGATCTTAATATCTGTGCTTGCAATAAACTGTACTTTGTACAAATACAATAAAAACTGATGTAAATACATAAAATTGTACTTAAAGTGCGCTGTGAGAGGAAATGCCACTTAAGGATTAACCTCATCACGACGCAACATTAAAGCTATTGGAGATGAAATGGAAACAATAAGCCCCACTGAAGGACTAGTAGTAACTGTGAGAAGAGGAAGTGTGCAGTAACGGTCCGCGCGGCCGTTGAGGCACGAACAATCGCCGCTCGGGTTACAGCCGCGGTCACGACCCGCGCCCGCGTCACGAAGGTCGGCGAATTACGATGAACAAATGTAGTGTTTGTAAACACCGGACATGCTGATTTTGCAATTTTGTACTACAGCGTCTGCTTTAGTTTTGGTTACGTCTTTTTTGGAAACTACAATGTACCTACCTAGGTAATTAATTTTTGGACAGTAACTTAGAGTGTTAACATGCCTACACAGTAAATGTAAATACCTAATGTAACCAAAGTTTAATATTAACTTGCTAAGTAGATTAAGGGGATTCTCGAGAACCGTGCACCGTTAATCATCTCTTAAAAAGAATTACTAATAAGTTATTTGTTGTTATTAGTAATAACAATAGATCTAGTTTTTATTATTTATTGAATGCAATGATTAACATTCCTTATACAGAGTGTCCGGGCATGTAGTGATCAAATGGACTATTTTATCGATGAAATTTGGGGCTTGACCCATTTTTCGCAAAATTACAAGGATTTACATGCGAAAGTGCACTCCTGAAAGAATCGCACAACTTACTCCTACTAGTACATGACTAGCCGCGTTATGGAATCGGCTGGGAAGGGGTATATTTGTTCACCAATTACGTCGAAACTAATAGACGTAGACTAATAAATTTACATTCGTTTTGTAGAATAGCTCAAATACTAATAATACAATGCAAATAAAACATACTTTAACGATCTGGTTTTTCTTGTATTGGAAAATAACTGAAAAAGAAGTGAAAAAGTCATGTTTTTTTCTACTTAAATCCATTCTTACTCCCTTAAAATGTATGAAACTTGTATCTGTTTTCTACTTTACAAATAGATAATTTTATCAGCTATCGCATGACATAAAATATTTGCTCATTAGTGTTAAGGTGCCCACGCAATCACTTATTTTTGAAGGATTAGGTGAATTCTAAAATTAAAAATTAAAGCCTTTTAATTTTTTGAGAAATGGGTCAAGCCCCAAATTTGAAGTATTTTCATCGATAAAATTGTCCATAGATCACGCCCTTAAAGTTTGATCACTACATGCCCGGACACACTGTATTATACGATTTTAATCTTCACATGAATATAACGTTAGTGAAAGTTGGTCCATAAACGCGGATGATGCGAAGTGTGGTTCATGCGTGGTCCCCGCGACGTGCCCTCGCGGCGCGCGCGTCACGTGCGCGCCCGTCCCGCGCGCTCAGCACGCGCATGAATCAGTCATTGCCAAGGTTGCTCAGACAATGAATCTTCTCTTCGCGCTGTTTACATTACACTTCCTTAACCGGACCGTGCCCTCGGCCACGACGACCGAGGCAGAACAACAATACGCGTAAAAGTATAAGCACATCACAGTTGGTCGAACAAAGAGTGAATGAATAATATGATACTCGTACTTTGGTCTCATTTATTAGTATTTGGGTCATTGCCAGTTTATATAGCAGTCCCTTTAGTATGTCAATTTAAAACTTTTGGCATCATTGATTTCACATTTGAACAATATGGCCAATTAGCTAGTCTAATTTACATGATAATGATAAAAAGGTTCAAATGTCAAATTTCTGATCAAGTTCAAATAAGTATTACTTATATTCATAGTCCAATGCAGTATTTTAGCTTTAAGATATTTTGTTGATGATATTGATTGTACTGTATGAGCGGACGCTCGGCCGTGGAGAAGCTAACTAGCGGTTGTTGCGCACAGTCGATATGGCGGAGTTTTTCACGGAGGGCCGCGAGTGCGTGAACTGTGGCACGGTGCACACGCCGCTGTGGCGCCGCGACTGCACCGGCCACTACCTGTGCAACGCGTGCGGGCTCTACAACAAGATGAACGGCATGAACCGCCCGCTCAAGCAGCCGCGGCGGCTGGTACGTCACCGCACCGCCGCGCACGCGCTCGCCGCGCCCGCCCACGACGTACGCAACTCACTCCGCTCGACTAACGCACGTCCTTGAGCAATCCGCGCCCGCCGAGCGTCCGTCTCCCGCCGCCCACTTCCCGATCTCAGTGACTTGTGTTTGCAGTGGCCGCGGAGGGGGCCCCGCCGGGCGCGGATTACTACAAGGGCTCCCTGATTAACGGGCTCGGGTCGCCGTACGCGCACCCGCTCGCGCTGCCGGCGCCCGCGCCGCTCTGTGCGCCGCACGCCGCCTCCACTCCCTCCGACTACAAACAGAAGAAAGGGGTACGTCGGGCCCCGCGTTGAGGCTCTACTCCCAAATTTGATTTTGACTTCACTTTATTTATCCGTCTCTCTAACTTTCCTGGATTGAGAGAGAAACTGATAGAGCCAAAGAAAGATTCCAAACATTTTACGGAGTAGACTCGCCGCCCTCCCTTTACCCTCCGTCCCTCCCGGCCCGACCCTGCACCCGCGCACTAACACTCATCGCTTCTCCTGTGCTAACCCTGTTCTACTCGTATACATTAACCGCATGTATCATTGGTTTTAGTATTCTGAATGTCAGTTTCATCATTATTTTAGTGTATTTTTTTTTCAGAACTATACTCTTAATAAACTAATGATGATTCCGACTTTAATTTTAATTCGAGTCAGTACAGAGTACAGACATAAGTATTAATATTTGTAATTTTCCAAAACTTTTCATTAGAAACCTGAAAATACTTATAAATACTTTTATAAAGTTTTTACAAGCAGAAAATAATGCATGTTTTTAATTTGTCAAAAGTTTTATTTCAACTTCCGGACATAATTTATCAAGACTTTATTTTGTGGTATCGCGCTATACTGTTGCCACTACGACGTAGCTAACGTGTGTTCCTGGCACAGACGGGCACGAAGCGGCCGGGCACGACGTGCACCAACTGCCACACGACCACGACGTCGCTGTGGCGCCGCAACGCGCACGGCGAGACCGTCTGCAACGCCTGCGGGCTCTACTACAAGCTGCACAGCGTCAACCGCCCGCTGGCCATGAAGAAGGACGCCATACAGGTGAGGCGTCGCGGACGGCCGCGGCGTGCCACTGGCACTATTGATTTTATGCCACCCACAAATCAACAATGACAACTAATGCTGGATTTCTTCAATCCTAATAAAAATCCGTCCGTCAACTGTCAAATTTCAAAGGTCAAAATATCTACGGATTTCGATGTTTTTACATTTTCGTATTGTTTATAAGACTATTTAAACAATATTAAAGTGTAATCGCATCAAAAATATGGATATTTGATAGAAAACAGATTCAAATTTGACAGTTGAAATCCGGATTTGGACAAGGATTGAATATGGGAAACGGGCGTAAGACGCCAGCTTTAAATAACTTGTTTTGTACCAAAATGACAGTTTAGGACTTCGATAACGATTTATACTTGAGAGAGATTATATTTTATTAGATTTTAAACTTTCGCGTTCCATTTCAACTAAAATAGAGTCTTTTAGAATTATTAATTTAGAATCTTTTAATAATATAATGATTTATTTTTCATTACAGACGAGAAAACGGAAACCAAAGAACGGAATTAATAAAAATGAACGAAATATTAAGACCGCAGTACAGCGAACACTGTCAAGTGGCGTGAAGTTGGAGAGTATACGTAAGTATCTTTGTAGAGGATTTCGACGAATAAGTTCAGACTAATGGTATTTTTGAGTATTTTGACGCAAGCTCCCTAACTAAGCAGAGGTGTCTGCTCGGTTAGGGAGCGTGCGCCGCATGTGTGACCGTGGCCCGTTGTCCGCAGTGGAGCCGGCGCCGGCGCTGGGCGGGGGCGCGCGCTCGCCGCTGCCCGTGAGCTACTACGTGCAGCACGCCTTCAAGCTGGAGGAGCCGCCGCCGGCGCACGCGCTGGACGACTACCGCCGCGCGCCCGACGAGCGCCCCAGCGTCGTGTCCATGGGCAGCTGAGCCGCCCGCCCGCACTCACGTCATAATAACCCCCGCGGAGCCCGCGAAGCCCGCGGGCTCGCCGAGTCGACGAATAATAATGTAGAATCTCAGTCGTTTAAGTTAGATTAATGCGTAGCGTAGGACCGCCGCCGGCGGAGTCGCTAGTTGACCAAATATCGCGGACGGCGCCGCCGCACGTGCCGCACCCGCGCCCGAGTATAGTTTCGTTGGACACGACGCACCTCGCGTCCGATCGCCCGCGCGTGTGTATTATTTAACGTGTTACCAAATAATCTTTGTATAAAAACTATAAGACTGTACCTAACCTGTACCATTCCTAGCGAGTTGCATTCCTAAGTAAATATTTACATAGATAGAGACGTTAGCATGTGTACTGTACGTGTTGATGTGTGAGGCGTATCGACGTTGAATTTAATTGATATTATATTGTTACTATGTGCTGACAATTATTTTATAAAATATGTGTAGTATGAGTCGTTATATATTGTAGATTTTATTAAACTCCATGACTTGAAAAGGCATTCCACGAATTTGAAAATAAATAAGTAGCTGTAGAGTAGTTGTATAAGATATTGCTCACAAAGACCACAATCGTCCCAGCGAGTGAGGGATGTGCCAGACAGTGTTTCACTACAGTTGGCTACCCAGCTCAAGGCCAATACATGCTCAATCTTTTATATACACGATGAAAAGATGGCAGTCACTTCATACAACAAAAATCTTGTCTACTTAGCACTCTTTTCATTGATGACATGTTAGTTATTTAGAAAAGTTTCTCCTTAAGATACTTTTACAACGTTGCGTTGTTGCAGTTACTTTGGTACAGGACGACACTAGTTAAGATAATTTATAAAATGTACTTTTACCTATGGATGAAGCCTGCCGCTAGACCTACATAGTATAAACAACTTATTATCATCGAAAAATATGGTGCGGTAGGATTGACAATTCCTTCGAGCGGATTCTACCCGTCACAACAACTCAGTGTCATCTATAACCATTTTATGTTGCAACCATGTAGGTACGCAATTGTATTCGGAGATAGCAAATCAACTGTCGGCAACTTTCTCTCTCCACGGTTAAAACACAAACCTATGATTAAGATAAATAAGTGGATTCTGTATTGACGAAATTACTCGTATATTACATTTTCTATACAAGTGCAATGTCTTTGGTGTTGAAATCGGAAGCGTCAACAGCGAATATGTTGCAAAATGTTCTGGCAGGTATCGTACTCGTATATTTGAGGATGTAATAAACTATCAACGTGTAAAGAACTTTCACTGATTTAATTAAATCAGTAAACCGATAACATCATTCATGTATGCGTATCAAGTGATTAACGATGTTAATTTCAGATCCAGGATCTGTTTTTATCGCTGTTGAATGACCTAAGCAGATCTGAACGATCTCTGATCCAAGGAACCCGAATTAAATCTCAATTGTTAATAAATTAGATGTTTAAATGTTTATTGTAGTATATCGCACCTCCCGGAGCCCGGGAGCAGGCGGCGCGAGAGGGCGCGCGTTTCGCCAAATATATTAGTGAACATAGACACACTATGTGATGTTATATTTTATTTATGTGTTATCGCTAATGACTCGTTGGCGTTAGTCATAATTTACAGTTCTTTGTAAATATTAAAGAGTATACTTTGAATAAATTGATAATAATTATAATTAAAAAAGCTGTTTTTTTTTTACTTATTGAACTAACTAGATCTAAATATTTTTTGCAGATATTATTAGTAAGTACTTTCTCCTCAAATCCTGATCCTATACTACAGATAGGTAACTATGTAAAAAAAATATTTTACATAGAGAAAATTGTAAATTAAAACAATATTTGTTAATTAGAAAAAATAGTGGTGAATTTCACTAATGGTGAATTTTTCAAATCGGTTCAGTAATTTCGGCGGCTATTTAATACAAACATACCAAAAATACAAGCTTTCCTCTTTTTAATATAAGCATTACCTACCATAGTAGAGATATGGACAACAAATACGTACGATTCTTTTAACTAAATTCAAAAAGGAAGAGGTTATCAATTCGACTGTATGTTTTTGTATGTTGTATGCAGAACTCCGATATTAAAAATTAGTTTTAATATCTAGTGCACTAAAAAGTATAATACTTATTAGGTACGTTATTTTAAAGGTCGATTCTGGAGTTTTTATCAAGCATCGATCGATCACGTATAATACGCAGTTGATAGTTACCTATAACTACTTAATTAATAATTACTAGGTACTTATAATATTGGAATGCCCTTACAGGGCTATATTTCGGGACTGTATTATTATTTATTAGTGAATTGTTTTCTTACAACTTTATGACCAACTAAAATACTCAATACTAAATTTGACAATGAATGGATGTTACAATGGTGGTATGGTAATATACCTATAGAAGTGCAGGTAAACCCGTTAATGTAATTCGATAATGTTTTACTGACCTATTACTGTTGAGACTTATGTTTTATGTATAGTTAGTAAGCAAGAAAATGACTATATGTATGAACCACAGTAGAGATATCAGTAGTATAGTATAATAATTATGATGGCTCATCGGCGTTAGAGGCATACTATATCATAGTTGTTGAGGGCAACTCAACTCAATGCTATTGAAGAACGATGTGACATTAGACAGCTACGTGATCGAAAACACTCGAGCGCGGGGCGGGCGCGGGCAGGGGGGCGCTGAAACAATATGGCGTCTTATCGCGCGCGTCACGTGCCCGCGCCCCCCGCCGCGCTTTATTAGCTTTCCACGGAAAATATTCGACAAAAAACAACTGATAAGATCGCGATGAGGTCGAGCGGCGCCCATCAATAATCCGTCGAAGTTTCGTATCAGATTCGGAGCGAGGATTATGTGACGCGGCCACTGCTTCACTACACAACACACACTTCACAGGAGTGCCGAAGGTACTCGAAGCAAAAACAAATGAAAGCAAAATAATCGGTCGGAAAACAAAGATCCAGGTGACTGGGCGCATTCATCTCGGGCGTGGGTGCGCGGGCGCCGCATCGACTGTAATGAGCTGTCGCGCAGATACCGCTCTCGTAATCAAATCTGTAGGCCTTCTATCTGATAATTAGCTGGTATCGGGGATGGTATCGCGATAGTTGCGGCCCCGATACGGCGGTCCCGCGTCCCGGGCGGGGCGCGGGCGGGACGACGCTCCCTACCAATATTTGCGCAGCGCTCGCCGTGTTTGCGCCCGTTATCGCCGCGAACACACCCCGCAGCGGCCCGGCCTGCGCCTGCGTGGGGAACATGCCTCGATGTTATTACCCGGCCGGCACGAACATACTCATGGAACAATTACACTGATTAGATTACCTGGAATATGACTAACCGATCGATCTGAACCTCCTACTTTCAGAACCACAATGTTAGTGCAACTGCATGTGCAGTAGATAGTGACAGCTGTTCCGCGAGATACTGTATCTGTTAGATACGATTAGGTATCAAAATGTTAAGATAACCGGTCTCATATTAACGCCTAGTTAAGATAAACGAGATAAAGATTTGCATATCTGAAGGAAACCGCGATACACGAGTGCTATATCTATGAGGTCATTGCACTCAATAATATAAACGCTTGATGAGTCTTGACTCGTATATGTCTCAAATTTGTCCTGATTAAGAACAACATTTTAGCTTTATGTACCTAGATTATGAAATAAATCAACTTACGGAATAGCGCGTTGAAGTCTTTTGTAAGGTCAAAGTTCATCAATCAGGAAAGGAGAAAAATCACTCGGACCATAATCATGAAAACTCCACTATAGGTACGTATTCTAGTAGGTATATCACACTGCGAGTTCATACTTCAAATCCTTTATGTAAAAAAAAAACATACGGGTCGAATTGAGAACCTCCTCCTTTTTTGAAGTCGGTTGAAAATTGATATTTCGCTATTATAAGATTTTGCTCATTTTGTGCTATTGCCATTGCTCGCTCAGTGTGTGTATTTGGAAATAAACGATTTATCTATGTAAATAAATGTATTGATATTTTTTTATGTAGAACAAGGCAGGTATTTGACCAAATTCGCACCTGGTGTTAAGTGGGATGCAGTCTAGGATGGTACATGTCTGCCCTGTAAGTGCCTATTCACTCTCGCCTTGAAAATGCCCGGATTATAGTCTTCGGAAAAGACAGCAGCAGGCAACGAATTCCAGTCCCCAGCTGTTCGCATTATAAAGAGTCGTGATATATTTTCCATATATATTTTATTTTATTAAGGATAACAAATTATATTCAGGAAGTCGCAAAGACCGATTAGTGATTTTCAGTTTCAGGAATTCCCAAATCATTCCCAAAAGCTACAGTTCCTAGGAGCATCAAGCACGCAGCGATGTCGCAACGGCCACGCATTCCGCACAAGTGGGCCACGACGCGCCACATTGAGCAATAGGTGTAATCCGCCTTTTGGGCTGACACAACAAGCACTGTCGCCTGACAGACAAACTCGGTTCTTGACCATTTTCAGGTTACTCTATCTTCTATTTGTGGGTTTTATATGTTGGAATTGGGAGTGAATTTTTCTTCTCATATTTTAGTAGACATAATTATGTAATATTTTTTTCATTCCGCCATGCGTATACGCGAAGTAGGTAAGGTAAAGAGTAGTTTAATATGTAATGGGTAATTATAAGTCGCAAATATTTTTGGGACCACGGAAACTAACCTCTGATATTATAATATAACGAAGTCACGGGAAAATGAGAAGGCTTACGACGACCAGGCGCTAGTGATGCTATGTAATTTATAGCCATACATTTCACTAAGTAACTGAATAAAAATAAAATATTATCAGAACTATATCGACAAATTGCTTTCTTTAATATTTTAAATGGAATAATTTCAAATCAAATAAAAATTATCACACGAAAAATATTGGCTGCTGATAAAAGATGCTATCAATTTGAATCACCTTAAAGTACCTACCTATTTCAATTACTTAAATACGTTCAGAGTGGAAATCAGATGATGATGATATGAATGTGAACACAGATTTTATTTTCTTATATTAATTTTGCAAAGCTTAAAAGAATAACTACATAACCCAGATAACCCCCATAACCCATAAAGCTAGACTACGCTGGTATGGACACGTTATGGGCAGACCAGACGATCACGTGATTAAAAGGTGGCTTTCCATCGCCACAAAAAAGAGGGGAAGAGGAAGACTTTAAACCGAGTAACGAATTTCCAAAAAGTATTGAGACTCCACGAACGAGACGTTCAAGATAGAATCAAATGGCGGCGCATGATTGGAAAAACCGACCTCCGCGTAACGGCATAAGGCGAGGCAGAAGAAGAAGAGATTAAAATAATAACTACACTTTGTCACGGTTCTCTCTCAGGATATTTTCGCTTTTTAAGACTAAATTAACCTAGATTCTTTCTGATGGGAAGTGCTGAAAGCCGTGAGCATCTTTTTCAGCTTCATCAGACAACAGATGAGCGCAGAGGGCTAGTTGATTCGTTATGTTCGGTACGTTAACTCGTCGGTCCCATTATATCAAAATGCCGTCTTCGATAAGTGTTTGATCAGCCAGTAGGTCAACTTTGGTTAGATTACAAGAGGCAGGATCGGAGAAGCAATGGGAATTTCGTTATCGACACCTGTCATCTCAAGATAAAAATGACAGGGCACTTTATTGGTACGATACTGAACGTGATGTATAAGCTATCTTAATATCTAGATTTAGTTTGCTTTGTAAGAAAAAAAAGTAATACATTGTTATTTAACGATGGTCATCTAATGATTACGGATTTATATAGGGTGATTTTGTTATCAGTATCCAAATTTTTAGGAGCGACGCAGAATCAGTAACTTGATTTACATAAAAACACTTTTTTTTTCATATTTAATTATTTTTATCCGCTACTCGCGGTTTCAAAATTGGCTCACGTGAATAATTTGCTTCGTTCATAGAAAAATACATACACACAGTTTACTACAAAGCTTAATAGACATAACGGTACGCAAAAATAAGGCCTAACCTTTAAAAATTAAGATATGGGCATTGGGCACCCGCGAATTACATTTTCAATATTTTTTTCGTGAAAAATACCGCTATTAAGAATAATTAAGATAAAGTTGTATTTTTAAATTGTTTTAAAAAGGTTTTAAAAAAAATTTGGATCGTGATAACAAAATAATCCTGTATTTAAAGCCTGATTA